GGGGTGGCAACAGGCTCAGATGCACGCAGCAGGCTGAGGTCACTGCACTGAAGGCGGTAACATGGATGTGCACATATAAAATGCTGAAATGCTTGCTCTCGAGACCCCAGCCTTCTTTACTGAGCTCCCAGGACCTGACTGCCCGGGGGCTGGGAGAAGCCTCTCTCAGGATGACCAGTGCACGAGGAAAGACCTACACCACTGCCACTGGGGATGCTCCATCAGAAGCCCTTGGCCACTCTCCAATGAAGCCCACCTGCCTGCTCGGTGCTTCCAGGCAGCCCTTTAGCACCCCAGCCAGAAAAACCAGCATCACCAGATGTCTGAGAAAAGCCTATAACCTGCGTGAAAAAGAACTTGAGGAAACACGGCATTTAAAAATATTATCAATATTCCCAGAGAGGCAGGAGAAAAAGCGTAATTTCCCTCCTCATGATAACAGGATACTACTGAGAAGACCTATCAAGAGAACAAAAATGACACCTTAAAATGACAGAATCAAAATCACTGAAGGTTATATTATAAAATCATTTCTAACGTATGGATTAACAGTCCTATCCTGTTCCCCGAAAAGATGAAAGGAGGCCTGCAAACCACACACAGTATAACAGGGTAAGTAATGAAGAAATAAGGAAAGAAAAAAATAAATNAGGGTGAGCCTTTGGAAGGAGAAACTGCCCAGATAGCACCCGCTTCCCACCCTGAAGTCTAGCATCTGTATAAAATGCCCAGGGACCTCGGGTTCATGCGCACGCCTGGTCTGATACTTCCCTCAATGCCACAGCCGCACGACTCTCCCACACCAACAGTCAGACCCCAAGGGTAAGGGCCACCCCCGATTAGTCTCATTGGCCTCTGCATCCCCGGAGGCTAGTGCAGTGGCACCTGGTTAAGAAAAATGCAGAAACTCTTTGATGAAGGAACGAACGAACGAGTGGGTAGAGACGCACCTGAGTTGTGGCTTTCGCCTGCTGTGCGCCTAGCCCTTCCCCCAGAATCCTAGTAACCAGGACGCCCCCAGCCCCCCAAGCCTGCGCTTACCTCCCATGAGGAAGAGAAGCCCGGCCACATACTGCATAAGGCCTCGGTCCCAGCAGCAGCCCAGCACGCCGATGATCCAGCCGAAGAGGATGATGGCCACCGCCATGCCCATGAAGCCGGCCGTCATCCTGCGCAGGTCTGCGGGGGAGAAGCAGGAGGGCAGGAGTTAGCGTCGGAGCCTGGAACTCAGGGCCAGGGTGCACCCCGGCCCCGGGCGGAGGGGGAGCGGCTGGCCACTGCAGGGGCAGGAAGGAACNGTCCTTAGAAAGATAAGCAGACTGGCCATATGTGAATTTAAAGGCATTAGATGTTATTTTCATTCTTAAAATGTTTAACGCTTTTCATTTGCACTCGGGTAAATCCCGGGGGTCACTCTGCCTGTGGAATGTCACACATGCAGATGGCCCCACTCCTGCCCGCCTGGGTCAACCTATGAGTCCATGTTATCTCGTTAGAGGTAACAAACTACCTTTTCTGTTCTTTGTGACAGCTCACTGTGCCCACAGCTGCACTCTACACCCAGGAACTTACATCACTTACAGTNCCGGCCTTCTCAGGCAGGGTTTGCACGGAGATCCCCCTGCAGAGGAGAGAGCCCCGACGGTGACTGCATCGAGGGTTCATGATACAGGAGACCATCGTCATAATAGCTGCCGCTTGCATGCTTCCTCTGTGCCAGGCGCAGCATCTGTAACAACCTTCTGAGCCAGGTGCAACTTACTTCATGCCATACACCTGGTGAGTGGTAGATCAGGGCACCCAAACCCAGATCTGTACGGCTCCCAGGTCCTCACCTCAGCTTCAGTCACCTCTCAGCTGGGTGGGGTCAGGCCGCACCTGCCAAGAGCTCTNCTCTTTTTCCTCTCTCTTCTTGACTTTTTATTTTATTTAATTAATTAATTTTAAAAAGTCTTTATTGATTTCAGAGAGAGGGAGGGAGAGNCCTCCCTTCCCTCAGGGGTTTGCTGGTCTCTCCGGGAGGATGCTGCCTGCAGCCTCCAGTTCCTTCCCCTCCAGGCTGGGCCCTGGGCTCAGCTTTCNTTCTTTTCCTGTCTCTTCTTGACTTTTTATTTTATTTAATTAATTTTAAAAAGTCTTTATTGATTTCAGAGAGAGGGAGGGAGAGNTCTCCCTTCCCTCAGGGGTTTGCTGGTCTCTCCAGGAGGATGCGGCCTGCAGCCTCCAGTTCCTTCCCCTCCAGGCTGGGCCCTGGGCTCAGCTTTCCTCGCATGTGGGGTTGCCAGGTGGGCAGCCACACTTCCCGCTCTCAGGCTGAGCCCCCCACCCCAGGTCAGCCCCGCTTTCTGAGTCAGGCCCTTCCCTGCTCCAGGCCTCACTGGCCGCTCCANGGATCCTAGGTCGATGCTCAACCACTGAGCCACGCCTGCCATGCTCTTTCTGCTTTTTTAGAAAAAAAAGAAAGAAGAAAGGACAAGAAAACCAACTCACCCATGTGAAGCCTGAATATTATGCATGGTCANAAGCCCAGGATGGGCACAGGGAGAAGGGTCGTCTGGGACGGAGGTATGTTCAGTGGCAGGAAGAGGGCAGAGCTGCTGTCCCATCGTAGTGAGCCTTGCTCAGCCTCTCGATCAGCTCNGACAAAGCCCAGCATGGGCACAGGGAGAAGGGTCCTCTGGGACGGAGGTATGTTCAGTGGCAGGAAGAGGGCAGAGCTGCTGTCCCATCGTAGTGAGCCTTGCTCAGCCTCTCGATCAGCTCAGCTTCCTCCTGGCTGGCCCCTGCCCTCCAGCGCATACCCCACATGGGCCTCACGCTCCTCCCCTGGAATCCAGCCTTCTTCCTTCCTCTTCGGTGACACCCCACGCATCTGTCACGGACTCCTTCCACCTGGCCCAGCACCCGCTGCCTGCAGCTCCCTGTCCTCCTGTGTTGTCCATGGGGAGTCCATCCATCTACATCTGGGTCTATGCACCAGCCCCGGTCCCTCCCGTGAGGCTCCAAACAGGAGCGAAGCCATTACCGGCGCCTCTGCCCTTGGGGACATGGCCAGAGAAGCCTGGAGGACTCACTGGGCATTGCCCTGCCCCACAGGAAGGGAGGGAGCATGAGGGTGGAGGGCAGGGAGCCTGATGACAAACTACATCAACACCCTTGCGAGCACAGACTACCCCTTCTCCCCCTCGGGAAACAAGGCCCTCCTCATTCTGTGGGGAGTGGGGAGTGGCTCGGGGTCCGCACACCTCACGAGGGCGTCCCGTCCCCTCCGTTCCCCTCTCGCTCCAGCCTCCCCATCGGGAGCCTCCGCAGGCCCTGGCCCGGTCCGGCGCGAGGCCTTTCATTCTCCTCGCCCCAGGAGAGGGTTTGGCCTGCGTGCTTGTTCTGACATTGAACACCAGCCCAGGAGGAAACTGGCTGGGAGGACAAAGGAGACAGCAGCTGAGCTTTTCCCCGGACGAGGGGCCCGGACAGGGAGCAGGACAGGACCCCATCACTGTCACGGAGGCAGATGTGCACCCGCCCAGCAGGTTCCCGCTCTACTGAGCTCTCCGGGGTCCTCCCTGCTGACCCAGGAGTGTCTGCCCCAGCCAGGGGGCAGAAATGCTCATTACGGACGTTTATGTGAACTGCCAAGGGCTCCTGATTCTCGTGCCCACAGTCCCAACTGCTCATGTCGCCAAATGCATCAGAGAAAACTCGGTGGCGAGCGCCACTGGGTCACAGCGCTCAAAGGTGCGGCACGCTTCCCGAGCAGGCTCCCGGCTGCCGGCTCAGCCACAGCCAGCGTGGAGTCGGCAGGAGCTTGCCTGCCAGCGGGGCCGGGATCACCACTTGCTCAGCTGCCCAAGGTCATCCTGGCCTCTCCACCTCCTCACAATGCTTTCTCCACTGCCACCAGTCTCAGTCCCTTCTTCCCTGGCCACTACCACACTGGAGGGAGCCAGGCCTGAGTTCCCTCCTTGGTTCCTTCTACATGCAAGTCGCTTTGGACCAATACCTGGAGATGGCATACTCTTTGCTCTAGATGCTTCGTCCACTCTCCACTGTGGTCAGGGGCAACGGGATGGTGGGAATGGGAAGAGAGGCTGGGTATTTTCTCTGGAAAAGAGGTTCATATCCTTTTAAATAGGTTGGGAAATTTCTCTTCTATGCCCCTGTGGAACCAGGGGTTCCCTTGGTGCATGGAGGTTCCTAGGAGAAATCTTGGCCCCTTCGGCAGCGGTAGGGCCAGAAAACCCTGCTAAAGCCAGAGAGCCCCACCCTGCTGCACTTGGCCTTGCTCACTGAGAGGCCCGGCTGGTCCCTGGGCTCTGCAGACCGGGAGTGAAGGTGCTGCCTGGGGGATTAAGTGGATAATGTGTGTCCACCAGGGCCAGGGACGGGGGAAATGGGCTGGGCAGGAAAGGGAAAAGCAAGTCCGAGAGAGAGGGAAGTTTCTTGCTAGTGGAGGAAGAAAACCATGTGTTTTACTCAGAAGAAAAAGAGAAAGCAGAAAGGGAAATGGAGAGGATATCTCCTCTTCCAAAAGTTCCACGACGCATAACGGTCGTCTGTGTCCCCGGCCGGGGAGGGGCTGTGGTCTCTATCATGGGTAAGTGCACTTTGCTGTCTCCCCAAGGGAATGTGTCAACAGGAGCCAAGGGTCCTGCTAAATTGCTGATCGGGAAGGAAGGGTGAAGACCTGAGGTCAGGCCTGAGTATTTTCACTGACCTGGAGGACATTCACCACCGCCCTGTGAGCCTGACTTTGCAGAGCTTTTATTTTATCCCTAAAACCTATGTGGTCATTCAGAGCAGCTGCAGCAACAACTTGGAAGGTGGGTAGGACAAGAAATGTTCCTATCTCACAGATAAAAAAAGCAAGAGCCAAAGAAGCTACACAATCGACCCTTCTCAAACCAGTGAGGTAAAAGGAGTGAGTTGGGTTGAGTTGTGTGGGAAAACGAAACTCACAACATAACTAACGACCCACTGGGTTATCATGACCCTGAGCAAATGCATCTAGCATCTCTTCCTCCCTAGGTAAGAGATTTTTTTT